CACACGCAAAAATATTCCAGTATGTCCTGCACCAGAAAGCCCATGGCCCTGGCAACCCATACCCACTGAAATCTCTGTTTTCAAGAGAGATTGCAAAAATCATCCCATGCAAATCTTGAAACTGGAGCATTTTTAGAAGCTCGTTAAGGAAGATACATGATAGTTGGGAAGCAAAGCCCAGCAAACACAGGAATGAAGGGAAGCAGCAGGTGTCTTCACATAGTGAAGAGTGGAATGTCAAAAGGAGACAAAACTGCTTTGGAGAGACTGACAAAGCTCAGCAAGATAGCAAGAGCAGACCTGGCGCAGGCAGCCCCGAAGCTCCTGCAACAGGGCGGTGGTGACAGAGGAATACGGAGCACGCTCTTCCACTTGGCAGAGGCCTGACCAGTGGTAACCTAGCGGCTTCAAAATAAAGGTAGAGCTGGTCATCACTGCATGTAAGTGATAGATGTCGTGACGGTCATAGACCCGATCAGGGATTCCGTCTGCCTTCCTACTGTAGCCACGTGGGAGAAGGAACGAGGCAGCGTGCGCACTGCACAGGCTTGCGCCAGTGAGCACAGGAGGGGCGTGCGCTTGCGTCTGCCTGGGACGCACGCTCTGCTTTCCGCTGGGGTGTGGCATCATCTAACGAAAAGTAACTTAGTTAAGCCTGAAAGACAATTTTAATTAATAGTCATGCCAATGCCATCTAATAACTTTTGTTTCCCATGCACAGTATGGAAGCCAAATATGTTTATGCCCCTGAAAGGCTTGTAGATTTTATGCAACTTTATATGCAACTCATATATTTCTCCCTCAGAATTTATACTGTCATTTGCTTCAAGTCAAGAAATACTTGAGGAAAAAGAGTCAGACTCGAACTGCTGAAATATTCTGGGATTCCTGGGCTTTACGGAGGTGAGCATCAAAAGGTATTTTCCACTCAAATGCAGATTTATTGGAATATATCAAGTGTTTAAAAGTGAGACCAGTAATTCTTACACTAACTAATAGTGATGAAAACTTGCACATATGTCTATAACAATGGCATTTGGATTTGTATTGTATAAAATATTTTCACCTATAACTCCAAATTTTTATTTGATCCTTAAAGCAGTTTTTTGTGATTTATTACCTCAACATAATATAAACAGAGACTCAGACTTGGGGGATTTGAGTGAATTCGTGGTCACAGAATGGGTTAGTGTCAATTAAGCAGGAGAAGAGCTAAGTTCACCTGACCCCATGCTTTGTCCTCCTGTACGTCTACTCTACCACTGTGGGAAAAAACGCCTGTGTAAAGGAGCAGCATCGTTCCAGGACATCATGTGACTCTCCTTAGGCACACTCTACATCATTCTCAGCGCGTACTTCATGCCGCACCACAGCAGAGTGAAATCTGGGCCCAGAAAAAATGTATAGTTCTGTCTCATTAGTCTTTTTTTTCCATAATTTTATTAAGAAATAAATAGCAATGAGACAGTTTCAAATCAAATTGGTAGGACAGTTCCAATAATTAGCACTTTGCATACAGCCTTCCTAGTGGTTATTTGTTGTACAAGATGCAGACATAATGTCCTATTTACAAACACTATTAGAACAAATCCCTCTATTCCTTGAATTAAGAGAATGTAGCTATATATCTATCCTAACCATTTGGAATACACAGATACAAAATTGTCATTCATCTGTATCCCCTTTTTTTGTTTAGTTCCACATTTAATATTATAGGTGTGTGAACTCAGTAAAATATTCCAAAATAGTCCAGTAGTCCATAATAGTACAGGGTCTTCCACTTGACTGGCAGTGTTAGAAATTGTTAACCTGAGTCCCCTACAGCTCAACATAACAACATGGCTTTATTTCTTGTACTTCATTTTCATATTTTTCTGCTGGATGGTTAAGACCAAGGTAAAGCAGGACCTATGCAACAAGAGTTGTAGCTTTTGGGTCTGATAAGGTCAGTGAAATCCCCTCAGGATTTATCCTGAGATCCTGTACCTCAGGTGGTAGAACCTTTCTCAGTGCCAGCCATGTGGATGAGTCACGGCCATTGCTTGGGCTATTTGCTCTCTTTGAAAGCCTGAGAGAATGTTTTCTCTCCATGTGACTCTCCTTAGGCACACTTTATATCATCGATCACTTTCCTCTTCAACCCCATAATCTCCTTGATCAGAAAATTTGGGACACTACAGAGTTACATGATGTTACAGTACAAGGTCTCATATCTCCTCAGTCTTAATTGACCTTGGAAGGCTAGGGCCAAGATGTTGGCTTTCCTTGCGGCCCTCCTTTCTGAATACGTGCTGCTTGTCATGACATGCCAGTGGCTGCTATGCTGTCTCTCAGGTAGATGTCTCATTATTCTGAACCAGATAGTTTATTTAGATTTGGCTTTCATGATGAGGAAAGCCTGTGCCTGGCAAGTCGGGCCTTTTGTGAGCAAGAGCAAGGATGGTAAGCTGAAAACGTGAGCATTCTTCCATTCACTAGCTGGAGAAGGTGGGACAGTGTGAGATTACAAAACACATGTGCAAATAAGGCGCAAAATGGGGGCAGAAATGTAGGAGGTTGGGAGTCCAGATAATCCCCTAGATTGGTCTCTCTGCTTCAAAAGTATTTTAATACATGTGCTAATTTTTTTCATTTATACCACTGTTTTCCATTTGTTTTCTAAAAAGAAAGTTTTGTGCTGTTATTTGTTTGTTTCCTTTTTGTGAGAGAGAATCTTTCATGTCTGCCTCTTACACTCTTTTATGTCTAAGTCTTATGCTACTTTGGAGATAATGATACACAATGTAGCAACTACTATTGTTCTCTTATAATTTTCTTATGAAATTTGTTTTATTTTAACATATGTTTCAAATTGTAAAAACACTTAGGTGTGCGTTTAGACTGAGAGCCTAGAAAAGTATGCAACTCTACAACAGTGCGCTCTCACTTATCTCTGAGGTCTTGGGGCAGGATTAGGAGCACTAAGCCCAAAATGCAGGCAGGTGGAAGCAACAGAAATGGGACTGGAGTGCCGGCTGCTCCCCAAGGTGCACAGTGTTCTCTTTCTAAGGCACGGTCTAAGAGAACGCGTGCCTGCCACACACCAGGTCTTGACTTGATTCTCAACATTACAAATAATAAGAATAAGAATAAGAATAATAATGCACATGACACAGAAAATGAGGCAAAATTATACATAGTGTTAAGAAAATTTACAAAATCTGGCACCAAAGATTCCGAAATTAACAGAATGAAATAAAGCAGTAAATACTGTTTACCGCTATTAAAAACAGCAGTGTAGATTATAATAAGCTTTGTGATTTCTCAATTATGAATATTTTTCATTACTTAAAGCAATGGTTACACACAGTAGAGGTTCAAGACATTTGCATGGGGGGCTGGGGAGATGGCTTAGTGGAATAAGCGCTTCCCTGGCAAATACAAGGACCTGAGTTCAATCCCCAGTTCCACCAAAAAAAAAAAAAAAGACATTTGCATGTTTGGCATATTTTATTTGTTAAGTGCAGTCAAGGTGTAGCTATTGTCCTGGGCGTGGGTAGAACCGGATGAGCTGCTACTGCAGGTCCAGATACTGCCCCTCTAGCAGCCTCGCCCCAACACGCCGTGCCCAGGTCAGCACTGTGAAGGGAGTGGTTTGCAGTTTGCTGCTTCCTGCTTTATTGTGGGGACCAAAAGCCACCAGACACCCAGCACCACTCAGCACAGCATAGGTGCAAAGCAAGCTCTTAGCAACGCCTCACTGCTGTTTTCAACAGTTATTTTCTCTGTGAAAGTGACTCAGGCACTCACAACTTTAAAATATTTAGGAGAGCACTAAATTATCTTGGGAAACTTAGCTCACAGTTTGGTAAAATAGCTTGTATATATTTAGCCTTAAAACATAAGAAATCAATCTTGACTTTCATATAATGTGCATTTTTCTTCTTTATCACAACCTAAAATTATATCAGACCTATATTATATCATTTGAGCTTTTCTTAATAAATACTACAAACATAGTTCCAGTTCCCAAAAACAATAGGTGGCCGATAGCCCACTGTCTGCTCTGCGTCCTCGTTGCAAAACCTGATTGTTAGTGATTATGCCAGTCATGATATGAAAGATAATTCCCCGTGACCCTGAAATTAAATCTTCTCTTAAAACTCAACAAAAAACAGTTTTGAATACTAATGTCTTCTTTACTGGATGATTCCTTCGTGTCTGACCTTGCCAGAGTAGTGTGTGTGGCCCAGCACATGTCACCCCTCACCGTCTGGATGCACGGGCAGGAAGTGTGCCCTCGTGAACAGGCGGACCCGAAGGCTGCGCCGGCACACACACTGCTCCCCAGCAGCTGAGCGGCGGACACCAACAAGACACCAGGATCAGAGATGCTTGTCTGTTTGTCTGTTCTGGGTTTTGTTGTTGTTGTTGTTTTTACTTTTAAAGATAGGGTCTTGCTATACAGTTCATTTCAGCTCACTTTATAGCCCAGGCTGGTCTCTAACCTGCGACCATCCTCCTGCCTCAGCCCCCCAAGTGCTGGGATTACAGGCGTGCACCAACACACCTGGCTTTCCAAGATGTTTGAAGGGTTGTGTTTATTCTTCCCATAACAATGGTGCATTTAAACAATGGCATCACTTTAAATCTACCTACAGTAATATGTTCACAGACATACACACACCTATGACATGGTGTGGCTGCTGTTGGGAATATTGAGATAGTACAGTAACACCTAGCATCCTGCCCAAATGACCAACAATACCTAGCATCCTGCCCAAATGACCAACAATCTTTTGAGTATTGATCATCAGTTTTACTTAAAATGCATAAAGATTAGCAGTCCGAGATAAATTGTTACATAGCAGAATACAAAATATTTTTCAGTGTTTTCTTTCACCTTTTAGAATTTCTATGCTCAACAACTGATTTGTGCGTTGTCGTTTTATTTCCCAGGGACACCACCTACCACTAAACTTGGGAAGACTGGAGGCTGCGTCAGGGCCACTGGAGGGCCAATGGAAGGGCACAACACGTCCTCTAGGGACTTCACCCTCCTGGGGCTGTTCACCAGACAGGACACCTCAGGTCTGCTCTTTGCCACCATCTCCACCATCTTCCTCACGGCACTGGTAGCTAATGGGATGATGATCTTCCTCATCCACACTGATTCGCGCCTCCACACCCCCATGTACTTCCTCCTCAGCCACCTTTCCTTAATCGACATGCTGTACATCTCCACCATTGTGCCCAAGACGTTGGTAGACTATCTGCTGGGCCAGAGAACCATCTCTTTTGTGGGGTGCACAGCTCAGCACTTCCTCTACCTCACCCTCGTGGGGGCCGAGTTCTTCCTACTGGGTCTCATGGCCTATGACCGCTACGTGGCCATCTGCCACCCCCTGAGGTACCCCGTCCTCATGAGCCGCCGGGTGTGCTGGCTGATAGTGGCAGGCTCCTGGCTCGGGGGCTCTCTGGACGGCTTCCTCCTCACGCCCATCACCATGAGCTTTCCCTTCTGTAGCTCCCGGGAGATCCACCATTTCTTCTGTGAGGTGCCCGCTGTGTTGAGCTTGGCCTGCGCGGACACAGCCCTGTTTGAGACAGTGATGTACGTGTGCTGTGTGCTGATGCTACTTGTGCCCTTCTCTGTGGTGATCACTTCCTATGCCCGCATCCTGACCACCGTCCACCACATGCGCTCCGTGGAGGGGAGAAGGAAGGCGTTTGCCACCTGCTCATCGCACATGCTCGTGGTGACCCTGTTCTATGGGGCCGCCATATACACCTACATGCTGCCACCCTCCTACCACACACCGTCCCAGGACATGGTCTTCTCCGCCTTCTACACCATCCTCACACCCATGCTGAACCCGCTCATCTATAGCCTGAGAAACAAGGACGTGGCTGGGGCGCTGAGGAGGGCCCTGGGGAGGATGGGGTCTTCCCAGAGAGGGCCTGGCGAGGCCTTGTGAGGATTGACTTCACCTCATGGGTGTGGGGACAGGAACACTGAGCCAGGGTACCCACGTCACACTGTAAGACACTGTATCGATTCCTTCTTTCCTCTCTTCAATCTTTCCTTCTTCCTACCTTGTTCATGTGTGTTCAAAATAAATACTCAGTGGCTTCCAGAAACACAGAGAAATATTTGTCCAGGACTTCTGCCTCTCGTAGGTATAAGAAGTCTTCAAAACTTCAAATATCATGGACAGTATCAAGGGTTGCAGGAGGCAAGACGGGATTTATCCCACTGGTGTACATATCCCACTCACGATCTAAAGAGATGGGAATGCTATCTTCCTGAGAGCCTCTCAGAAGAGTTGTGACTGGTCTCTGTGCTCTTCGTGAAAGGGATGAATGCACGGTGACATACTCATGCCATCAGAGTAGATGTTCCACCACGACCCGCACCCCTTGTGCTCCTCCTACAAACACCATCTCGTGCTAGGGAAGCCACAGAAGTAATGTCTATGAAGCACAGATCCAGCAAGACGAACTCATGCTCTCGGGAGATCTGTTGCTGGGCATGTGTGTGGACAGGCTCTGGGTGCTGCTGCTTTGTTTCTTCTTGTGCACACTTATCACACACCCAGGGCTCAATTATACATAATCAAACAAGCTCAAAATTTTTGTACACCTAAAATATGTTGAACTTGTACTTTAAGAAAATGCTAAAAATAAGGCTCAGGATATGACCTGTGCGTGATGTAACACAAGAAATACAGGCACACTGCGATGCTGGGGTGCGTGGGGGCTGCTTATCTGGGATGCTCAGGAAGGCCCCCAAAATGTGCAGCTTGAGAAAAGGCAGGTCCAAAGGAGCTGGGAGACAGTTTGGCAGGCTTAGCGCCTGCCTGGAAAACCCAAGCACCTGCGTTTGTCTCCAGTACTGCATGCTGTGCTGCCGGCCATGTGGGCCTGAAAGTGGGTGTTGTGGTGCTGGGAAAGCTGGGACGGCTGAGACAGGAGGAGCACTGCAAATCTAAACTGCATAGTGACACCCTGTACCAAATAAAAAAATTAAATATTTTTTAAAAAGCAGGGGATAGGAAGATGCAGCACAGAACCCCCCAAGTGGGAAGCACAACAGGTGTCCGTGTGTGGAACAGGCATGTCAATGCAGATGCTGGGCACGGTCGCTGATCTAAAATAAATGAGCAGATGTCACAGCAGAGGTTCCCTTATGTCCTGAGTCCTCACTGACTGTGAAGGGCTAGGGACAAAGTGTTGGCTACCTTTTTAGCCCATCAATCTGTCTAATTTTTGGTCTGCAAACTTTAGTTGTTAAATGTCCAGAAGAGAAGCTCACTGATATTATTATTGTATAACGGAGATGGTTAAGCTGAACATCACTGTCCACTTGCATGTCACATACCTTAGACATAAAATGAACCTGCTATTTTCCAACAACCATGGATGTTCTAAAATCTAAATCCCTACAAAATTTTAAAAAACAATTACACATTTTTTACACAGATATTTAGAAATCGAACTATATTCAACATTGTAGCAGCACAATCCTGCTACACTTTGTTTTTCTTTTCCCTCATTTACTTTTATTAACTTTTTTAACATATATTTACTTTATTTTTTCCAATTATTAACCTTACTGAAGATTAATAATTATATAACAAATCAAAAAGTATGATAAATATTGAAATGTGAAAGATATAAGATATAGGCAGAGTGAATTTTAGAAAAATATTTCTGAAATGAATACATAACATGAGATTGATAATAGATTGCACAATGTAAAAATTATTTACAAATTTAAATGACTATTACAATGAAAACCGTGTAAAATAAACATGAAGAAGAGTTTAAAGATCAGTCATATAGTAGTTCTCTCTGTGCCTAAATCAAGAAACCTATATTTATAATTAGAATTCTCAAAGTAGAAGGGATTAGGCACTAAATATTTATAGATTCAAAACTTCTGAATTTAGTTAAAATTATAACACCACATTACCAAGAAAAATGAACCTTTTGCACAAGAAATATGAATAAAATCATACCAAGATACACAAAACTGAAATTGTCCAAAACTAATTGTAAAGAAAAAAATCATTAAAGCATGTACATAGAAAACAAATACTAGCTATGGAAGAACAAAATTAAATAACATTTTATTACACGTTAGGAAAAAAAGAGTAAGTGGGTAAGAAACTAGACTTGTTTATTCAAAGGACTGAAAAAAATTTTAAAAAGACCTGTCCTTTTTGAATTCTGTAGTAAGCAAACAAACCTTTGAGAACTAAAAATAAAATATTTTCCTATTATACAAACTCAAAATATTCTAATCCCTCCAGATGTAGCATATAGAAAATAACAAAGACCATAATCCAGAAGACAAGAGAAGTAGCTGTGCGGTCCTGGGTAAAGAATAAAGAGCCCTAAAAACTGGTAGTCATGCAGGACCATGTAAAATACAATATTGGATGAACCTATTTAAAAGGTCTTTGAAGATTTCCACAAAACAGTATCAATCTTATGTCAGGTTATATACATATCTTTTCATAAATGTGTGTGTGTGTGTGTGTGTATGTGTGTGTGTGTGTAACAGACAAGGAAGAACTAATATAAAGTCAATGGAAAATGACAATATACTTTTTAAAGTTTCTAATACTAGAAGAAAATATCATACCATGTCTTATAAGGAGATTGTAAGTAAAAGAAACAGTATAAATCATAAAACAAAAATTAAAATTAAACAATATTCAGACAACAATATGCAATGTATTAATTATTGTAACTGTCCTACTAAGCTGTTTTGAAACTGTCTCAATGTTATTCCTTTCTCAATAAAATTAATATAAAAAGAAAAATAAACTAAAAACAAGAAAATTAAATATTAATTAATTTAAAATTAAATTAAATATTTCAAAATAATATTCAAAAATTAAAATTTGAATAGGTCCAACTAAGAGGCCAGAATGTAGTGCATCATGTGCACAAATCTGTGATCCATTCAGAGTACTTACGCAGTATTTGATCAGGCTAATACATATAGACCAGCCGTAGCAATATACTATCCCCATGAGTCCCTCTTGCTTCTGACTGGTCACTTTCATCCTGCTCTTCGTTGCTGTGGAAATCACTCACCACTGGCTTTGTTTTCCCTCAGTTTGCCCTTTCCTTGCCTTTCCCTTTGTCCTGGCCTTTTCTTGTTGAGCTGGGTTTTCACCTTAGCAGATTTTGTCTCAGACTCAGACTCCTCATCATCCTCCTCCTCGCTCCTTTCCTCCTCACTTTCTTCCTCTTTGGCAGTTTTCTGCCACACACTCTAAAACACCGACTGCAAGACAATGGAGTCTTCATAGATCTGGGATCCCTCCATGTTGAAAGTCTGAGCATTGTGACACAGAAGCATGACAGCATGACATCTTTCTCCGGGTCACCCAGGCTCTGGTACTTACGATTATGAATTATATCCTTTTTTTTTTTAATCCGCTGGCTTCCTAACTAAGTCATAGTATCCTGGGAACTCTTTCCTGGAAGGTACCTGAATGAAGGCATCACTGAGCTGCCGCCCTGAACTATCCTTGTAGTGGATCACAGTATCAATGATGGCCTTCCTCTGTTTTGTCAGTTTGGGGGGACTTGGTGACAGCTTCTCAGCTGGAGAGCGGCCTCACCTCTTCTTAGCTTTTTCTACATCTTCCTTCACAGGCTCTTTGTCCACATTTCTTCAGCTTTTGCTCTTCTTAAGCTGAACTTCCCCTTCCATTTCTTCCAAGGTGCTGTGCTCATTGGCCATTCTGGGAGAGGGGCTCCTTGGCAGGCTCTGGATGGCCTGGAGACAGATCTCCACCTGGGGAACACCTTCTCTCCAGAAACATTTTCTACTGTAGCAAAGCTCTTTAAAAATTTTCCCAAGTATTCTAAAAGGACTGAACTGTCTCTTCTGTATGGAAAATTACATTTCTGTATAAAGTATGGAGCGTGTAGGAAAACATTGTTGAAAAAAAAA